TATAATATATATTATGTTTAATACAATGAATGTACATCGTGTCTTTTGTAGGGTTGGAGTTAATGTAGATAGTCTTACCGCTGAAGGTGTCAAGCAAGAGGAATATATCCCTGTTCTTATCGCACCAATGAAAGAGGAAGAATCGTTACTAGATATCATTTTTGAGAGCAACCCATTAGATAAGAAATGCGGACAAAGACTCATAATTGAATTAAAACCCCTTAGGATTATTTATGATGCGAAAACCCTTATTGGGGTAATAAACGTCTTCGTTCCATGGAAAAATTTATATAGCTCAGCAACAGAAGCAAGTATTGATGGACTATATTTGATACTTGTGCCAAACAGAGAGATCAAGTATGACCCAATAAAAGATGAAAAGAAGTTAAGAGACACTAAATATTCAGCATTGGCTCAAATTGAGGAAAGGAAAAAAAGAGAAGCAGAAATGGGTATGTTTTAGAACTATTGATTTATACTTTATTTTTCTGGTCTTAGGTTCTAAGAAATATTTGTAAATATTAAATCAGAGCTGCATGTATAACCTTTGACTAATAGTATCATATACAGTTTAAAAGCCTTTTTATCTTGCAAATAGTAATATTATTTTTAATATGTTATTTATTTTTTTAGAGAAAACTGATGATACTTTTTTGGAAAAACTTATTGTTCAGATCATTAAAAACCTGCAGGTAAAAATAACCAATATTCACATTCGCTATGAAGATAAAATAACAAATCCAGGACATCCCTTTGCCATGGGAATAACTTTAAACAATTTAGCAATAGACACCACAGATGAAAATTGGAAACCCACAGTTGTGGAAGAAATTGTAACAAAAATTTATAAGGTATTCCAAAATAAATGTTCAATGAAATAGTTAGGTATTATTAAAATTTTTTAACTTTAGGCTGTACAGTTGGATGCTTTAGCAGTTTATTGGAACTGCGATAGTGTTACTTATTCTCATTTATCACCTGAAGAAGTTGTTCAAAATCTGATTAGGGAAACTGCCACAAACAGGTTTCAACCAGAAAATTATAAATACAGTATGAGAGAGACCTAATTAAAGCAACAATTTTGTTTTGACATTTCATATTTTACAGTACTTCAACCTATAATGTCCTCAGTACAATTAAAACTTAATCCCAAACCTGAAAAAGACAAACCGGCCTTTTCAATACCCAAAGTCCATTTACGTTTGGAAATGGAGAAACTTGGAATTGGTATTATGTGCATTTAATATTTTTAAATTCACATTTTTCTTGTTTTGTTTTATTTTCTAAATTTGTTAATTGCAGGTTTAAGTAAAGATCAATATAGTAATTTAATAAAGCTTGTCGATTCTATGGATTTGATGTCCAAAGGAATACCATACAGAAAATACAGACCACATGTGCCATCATATAGAGGGTACTACAAAGAGTGGTGGCTTTTTGCCTACACTTGCATTTTGGAAGGAGAAGTCCGGAGAAAAAGAAATAACTGGAATTGGGATCATATTAAACAACACAGAGAAATTTGTCGAGAATATGCTGACCTCTACAAACAAAAATTGTGCAAAGAAAAGGTGTTATTTTTCTCATTCAATTATTAAATGTTTAAGTCGACTGTTTTAGTTGGACGCAAACGATAAAGAGTCATTACAAAAGTGTGAAGACTTTCTCGATGTGACTAACATCATAATAATAAGACAGAAGGTAGAACTGCAAGTGGAAAGAATGGAAAAGTTACAGGCAAAACCCAAAGGCTGGCTTAGTAATTGGTGGTGGACAGGATCACAACAAACGATCGATGAAACAACAGACATAGGTACGTATATTAGTTATCTTTTTTTACATTAAGTCACTTGTTGTGCTTGTCTTCAAATTATATTTTTCGAAAAATAAGGCCGCCGCCATGTGTGGGACACCGTTTTGAATTTTTGGCCAGCTTCCAGCTGGTGGAGCTCAAATCATGCAAAAACAATTTCAACGGTACAATCTCAGTCTGTCAGTATGTACTTAATTTTCAGTATCTCGTTAATTAAAATAAATCGTATTATTTTTTGTATAATATATATCTGTGTGTGTGTGTTTTAACCCCTTTTTTTGTATTAATTTGCTAGTAATAACGCTTTCTTTTTGTTTAAAAATAATATTCTAAACCATGTATATAAATAATCATCTCCGGTAGGGTGATCCAGTTATTTCCGGATTCGATAAATTACCTAACCTACATTGCAAACTGATGTCATCGTTATTTTAAATAAAGTGTTGTAATTCTTTTAAAACATTTTTTCAGTGCTTAATAATTGGAAAAAATGGTGTTCGAGTCTGTAGTAACCGATATTTTGAATCGAATCTTGGGAGACTTTATTGAAAATTTGGATAGTAAACAATTAAATCTTGGCATTTGGGGAGGTAATGGTAACAGTACTTTATAGCAAATAACAGTGATACTAATTAGATTGTTTTTATGTAGGGGATGTAGAATTGAAAGATTTAATTTTAAAACAAAGTGCTGTTGATGAATTGGATCTTCCATTACAAATTGCCTACGGCAGGCTAGGTAAGTTGAGGATTATGATGGTACAATTATCTATTTATATATTCTTATATGTATTACAGGTAATTTGACATTGAAAATTCCATGGAAAAATTTATATAGCTCAGCAACAGAAGCAAGTATTGATGGACTATATTTGATACTTGTGCCAAACAGAGAGATCAAGTATGACCCAATAAAAGATGAAAAGAAGTTAAGAGACACTAAATATTCAGCATTGGCTCAAATTGAGGAAAGGAAAAAAAGAGAAGCAGAAATGGGTATGTTTTAGAACTATTGATTTATACTTTATTTTTCTGGTCTTAGGTTCTAAGAAATATTTGTAAATATTAAATCAGAGCTGCATGTATAACCTTTGACTAATAGTATCATATACAGTTTAAAAGCCTTTTTATCTTGCAAATAGTAATATTATTTTTAATATGTTATTTATTTTTTTAGAGAAAACTGATGATACTTTTTTGGAAAAACTTATTGTTCAGATCATTAAAAACCTGCAGGTAAAAATAACCAATATTCACATTCGCTATGAAGATAAAATAACAAATCCAGGACATCCCTTTGCCATGGGAATAACTTTAAACAATTTAGCAATAGACACCACAGATGAAAATTGGAAACCCACAGTTGTGGAAGAAATTGTAACAAAAATTTATAAGGTATTCCAAAATAAATGTTCAATGAAATAGTTAGGTATTATTAAAATTTTTTAACTTTAGGCTGTACAGTTGGATGCTTTAGCAGTTTATTGGAACTGCGATAGTGTTACTTATTCTCATTTATCACCTGAAGAAGTTGTTCAAAATCTGATTAGGGAAACTGCCACAAACAGGTTTCAACCAGAAAATTATAAATACAGTATGAGAGAGACCTAATTAAAGCAACAATTTTGTTTTGACATTTCATATTTTACAGTACTTCAACCTATAATGTCCTCAGTACAATTAAAACTTAATCCCAAACCTGAAAAAGACAAACCGGCCTTTTCAATACCCAAAGTCCATTTACGTTTGGAAATGGAGAAACTTGGAATTGGTATTATGTGCATTTAATATTTTTAAATTCACATTTTTCTTGTTTTGTTTTATTTTCTAAATTTGTTAATTGCAGGTTTAAGTAAAGANCACTCAGGTGCCTCTTGAGCTGAAGTCGTTCATGCAAGAGGTGTCAAAAATTCAGTATCAGCTCTCCTTGGACAGCCAAAAATCACCAGAAAACTTCCTCTTCGTCAAGGTATGATGCCGTGGTCTAAATTGTTTATTTCATTCTTTCTCTATAAATTCTATTTATGCGGAATTAATTAAAAATTGGAAATTTCAAATGTAAATTTTGTTCATATCTTTCATAATTGCTACACATACAGACAGTATAATTTCATTTTTTATTTGCTTTCAATTGTACACTTTTAGTACGTAGATTGGTATTTATATATTCTCTTTTTTGTATATCAATTTGATTTAATACCCTTTCAAACATTGTTATTAAATGTTAATATGGTCATTTATCATTTGTATATAGGTTGAAACTTTTGAAAAGGAACTAAAATTACCTTTTGAAAGAGCCGACAAAAGATACTTCCCACTCGATCCAAAAACGAACAAAGGCCTAATTTCGGAAGTTTCCATGGAACACGGGGTCCTTTCCTTAACATTAAGAAGCATACTAAAGGTCTGTATATATTATAAGTGGATTAATACATATACGTATTATACATATATATAAAGTAACATATAACATATTTTTATAATTTCTAAGTGGTAATTTTGTTTTTGTAGATTTTCAATCATTTCACTATTCCAGTAGATATCTATTATATGACAGAAAAAAGTAATAATTTGGCTTTCATTTTCAACATACAACCAGGACAGTCCCGAAATTTGCCATACAAGGCAGTGTATACTACTACGGGTCAGCTGTTTTTTTCGGTTAAAAGCTACTCTGTGACCTCGGTACCTTTTGTCTGGCGCGACTTGAATTCGAACGTGACTATCTCAAAGACATTAATGTGTCGACCTAAGGATCACCTGAACCACACCGAGCCATTTCTATTATATGTAAGTAACTTAAGAAAGAAAGCATTTTCATTCTATTATTAATTATAATATTTTACTGATTTTAGGTAAGCGGGAAAATGAAACAAGTGTATAGCGAAACGTCGACGCGTTATACGATGGCGAGTGTTTGTTACAACGTTTATTTAAAACCTGTTGTCGTTTTTAAAAACTATCTGCCCTTTAACGTCGTTTGTATTATCGATAAATTGGTTGAAGAATACGTTATTGAGCCAGGGGCATACACCCAATTACCCAACGTGCAACCCGGAACGTCCAGTATTTGTGTTAAGGTAGTAGTTGTATTTAATCAACAAAGTACCAAATAAAAACTTTTTATTGCAGATTCCCGATTACCTAGAAAAGGAATGGACATGTAAAAATGAATTGTTACAAAATCCTTCAGAGTTTACTGTATGGCAGTTCTCCAGTTACGAAAATATTGTAAAGGTCAACTTGGACCTTGGAATGCACTGCAAACAGGATGGAAGCTCCATGATCATGTCCTTATACTGTCCGTTTTGGCTGAACAACAAAACCGGGTTGACTCTTGATTACAGAGTAAGTTAGCACAAAAAAAATATTTACTGCCTTTTTTAAAAAGCATGTTTTTGTCTTAATAGAATACATTTAAAAAAATAGTTTACAAAATGATTAACATTAACTTATTAACATTGCTAAACAAAGAAGGAGCTTTTATACGTAAATAAAGAACCATTGAATTTTCTGGTTCTTTTTCAGAAATCTAAAAAGGAGAAGTCGGAAAAAGGAAGTCCTTCCAAGGTATTATTTATCATAATAAATAATTGGATCTTTCTTTTTTTTTACCGTATTTTTGCTACCACAAAAAGTAGTTTGAGTTTTTGTTATTTCAAAATATTAATCGATCTTTTACATTATAAAGTGAATATGAAGTATTAAATTATACTCTTTTTAAAAGACGACAGAAGATAACATGAATGTAATAACACATCCCAGTAACTACGATGGACCAATACTGTTTTCCTTTAATGCGAAAAACTTTTTTGGGAAGAAAAAAGCTAGCATTCGAGTGGACAGTGGCGATTGGTCAGATAAGTTCCCTCTAGACGTCGCTGGATCCTCAGGTTACGTGGTTTGCAAAGGACAAAATCACATTTACATGGTAATCTATTAATTTTAATGTTAAGTATTGCTTAAATAGCAATAGTACATAATTTTTGTAGATCGGAGTTCGCAATACGCTTACATACAACGGTTTAACAAAACAAGTAACATTCACGCCTTATTATGTAATGGTTAATAACGCAAAGTATGACATAGAATGTCGAGAATTCGATAGACCTGCTGACCGATGGTTCACAGTTCCCGCAAAATCGTGCGTACCCTTCTGGCCGAGAAGCGAAAAGGACGATAAACTGCTAAAATTACGAGTGGTAAACACTGAAGAGACTACGCCACCCTTCCTTATCACTCAAACAAATAATATTTTACTTCAATTAGATAATAAGGTTGGTACTTATGTAGATATACTCATTTACCTTTATTTACTTTAACATATACCGAATAATTTAATAGTATGGAGGGATTCATGCTGATATTCAACTAACTGAAAGTTCGACATATATTAACTTAAGCCCATACGCCGAAGGCTTACCTCCTCCAATGATTCTGAATCATACCGACAAAACGATAAGTTACTGGGAAAAGGAAACTGTTCAAATCAGGTATCGTTTCTAAAAAAAGTATTATATAAAATAGAGTTTACCTTTGCTTGATTGAAACTCGTAACGAGTATAAAATATAACACCAAATGTGAATTTCGACAAATTTTAGTGGCACTTAATTCTTTCGCCAAACATTAACTTCTTAAAAACTATTCCCAATGAATTTTTAAATAATTTCTTGTTTTTTTTTTTATTTGTATAGAAAACTAGATCCGGGACATTCAGTGTTATTTACGTGGTCGAATCCGCCCGGTTGTCGTGTCCTAGCTTGGGACATTGGTAACAAGAAAGAAATGCAAGACGAATTACAAACGGACGGACTGAAAGAATTCTCGCCGATGCCGAATTATACAGTATACTGGGTATCGTTTTTAAACGGTATGCAACGGGTAATTCTATTTACTCTTAACGAAGATGTAGCTGCAGACGTTCAATCGGCAAAGCAGTTTGAAGTCGCAGACACAGAAATCAACGTATCGATTCACGGTATCGGCCTGTCACTGGTTAACAATGTAGCACGCCAAGAATTGATGTATCTTGCAATTGCCAACAGTGGTATTATCTGGGAATATGCCAAACTCAAATCGAATCGGTAAATACAATTAATTAAATATATCGAACCCATATTTTTAAAAAAATTTGTCTATAGGTATATAGAAATGGCTGTGCGTGATTCCTACTTAATGGAACGCGCATACCAGCGTTATTTGTCAAAAGAAAAGTGTGACACGCCGGATTTTGGACGCGAATTGGTCGACGAAAAGACCGAAGTCGACTTTGACACGTTAAGGATGTTAAAACCGCAACAAAGGAAGATGAGACGAGTATTTCAATACGGATTGTGGATTCAGATGAAAACGAGCCCGTATCAGCTACAGTTCCACGCTAAAGTAAACAAAGTGCAGATAGACAACCAGCTCTTTGACTGTATATTTCCGATAGTCTTGGCACCGGTACCTCCCCCAAGAACCATGGGAGACAATTGTGAGGCTTTCAGTAATACTTTTATAATTTTCTGGTATCTAATAGTTTATTGTTTAATCAGTTCATAGGCCATTTATAGAAATGAGCGTGGTCCAAAGAGTGATGAAATACAGTCACATCACTCAGTTTAAATACTTCAAAGTTCTCATTCAAGAATTTCACGTGAAAGTCGATATAGGTTTCGTCATCGCCTTGTTAGATTTACTCGAAACGAACGTTGCAAATGAAGAGGAAGAAGTAAGAACAATAAAAGTTCATATTAGAAATTGATGTAATCATAACATGCTTTTTAGCGTAAGCATTTTTTGGAAAGTATAAAATTAACCAAAGAACCCCTCAAATCTCTAGTCGTTACCATTTCTCAAAAGGAACAAAAGAGTTTTTATGACGTACTGCATTTTTCTCCTCTCAAGATTCATGTAAGTTTTTCACTCCAATCGGGAAACTATAAAGGATTATCGCAGCTGGACGTCGTCAACGTTCTTTTGCAAGGACTAGGTGTCACTCTGACGGATATGCAGGATGTAATTTTCAAGTAAATACGATATATTATATTAATTAATTTACTGCTTTTTATCAATCGTTTATTTCGTTTTAGACTAGCGTATTTCGAAAGAAACTACACATTTTTATCTCAAAATCAACTTATATCCGAAGTTACTTCTCACTATTCGAATCAAGCCATAAAACAACTTTACGTACTCGTACTTGGACTAGATGTCCTGGGAAATCCGTACGGCCTAGTATTGGGTATTACGAAAGGTTTCGAGGACTTCTTTTACGAACCAATTCAAGTCAGTGTTTAAACGAAACAAATACACTAATTAGATACATAAGCATAATTTTTTTTACAGGGTGCAATCCAAGGACCTGGCGAATTCGCCGAAGGTCTGGTACTGGGTGCCCGCAGTTTATTTAGTCACACGGTAGGTGGTGCTGCAGGTGCCGTTTCGAGAATCACAGGAGCCATGGGTAAAGGTATTGCAGCGCTCACTTTTGACAAAGATTATCAGCGAAGAAGAAGAGACGCCATGACTAAAAAACCTGCCAGCGTACAAGAGGGACTCGCCAGAGGGGGAAAGGGGCTCGTTATGGGCGTGTATGACGGGGTGACCGGAGTATTTACGAAACCTATAAGCGGAGCGAAACACGACGGCGTCGAGGGTTTCTTTAAGGGTTTAGGAAAAGGTGCCATCGGTCTCATTACACGGCCCACTGCTGGAGTGATCGACTTTGCCAGTGGCTCTCTTGAAGCCGTCAGAAGGTTGTTAATATAGCAAAAACATTATCAATTTATTTTATTTTAATCCGCGTATGTTCATTTTTAGAGCGACAGATTTAGAGGAAGACATCTGCAGGATACGACCTTCAAGGTCATTGCCAGCTGACGGTTTTGTGCGGCCGTACAATATTCAGGAGGCCGAAGGAAATAAAATTCTGATGGAGTTGGAAAAGGGAAAGTACTCTACGACAGACGTCTACGTGGCTCATTTTACAATCGAAAAAAATCAAGTTTTGTTATTAACAGATAAAAGAATCGCTCTTGCTTCTCACAGTGAAGTATTTGGAGGATGGCAGGTAGGTCTAGATTTTCTTATTCCTTTGTATACGTCACTGATAAACCTGATTCGCCTAAAAATCCTGGTTTCGTTTCCCTATATATATTTCCTTTCTAGACGCACAGCTAACAAATGGTTGTTTAAATAGCGTCTTTCGCGATAAAATAAACTTGTTTTTAGGCGGAATGGGCATTTGCATGGTCCGACATACCGTCGTCTGCCACCGTGCATCCCAAGGGAGTACAGATTCCCATTCCTGAGGCGAAAAAGAAAAAGTTTGGCATGTTCGGTTCTAACGGAGCCAATAAGTTAATTAATGTGCAAAACGATGCTTTAAAAGAAAAGATCGTTAAACAAATCGAGTATATGCGGGAAAAGGCTTAATAGTAGAAGCAAAGCTCAGATATTATTTTCTTAATGCTGGCTTATAAATGCACAATTTTTTATATGTATGCTTTATAGAAAAGAACACTACTTACTCCTTTACATTTACCAGTTAAAATATTTCTTTTATTAAGCTTTTAATATATATTCTAAATACTTTATTTACACGTTATATACAAGTAAAAAATTTAAAATAATTAAAATTTTACCAGTGCTCAGTTTTAAAAATATTAAACTTTTGTGTTTTTTCAAACTCCAAGTTACAGGATTATTGTAAATGCACATTTTTTTTCGGTTCTACAACGCAGTGAATTTACTATTCATATATATGCTACTCCCTCGATTTAATCACACAAGTATAGGCAAGGACCTTTATTGTGATCTGACTTTCACCTGATTAAATTTCAAAATAGCATTGTAATTTTCTATTATTATCATAATAATTGTTTTCTTTTCAGTTGGTTTTCGTTGTTATTTATTAATTATTATTGTTGAAAAGTTTTGTTTTTGAAGTAAATATAATGATCAATTTAGTGAAAG